ACGTATAGATATATGTAAGTGTGTATACGTGAGATTATAATAAACAATTTAACTTTGACGAGTCGATAAGTATAAATATGAAGTGATTTGCAATGTTTTTTCGTTTTACCAATATTGATAAGTATTTTTATGTGCGTCTGTTGTGTAGAATATATTATTCTAATGCACCGATTTCGTTCGAGAGGCCTCGTTCGCTCATCTTCGTTCTTTCTCTTTCAGCAGTCTGCGAGAAAGCATTTGATTTTTTACCACGTGATAAATAAATAAAATAATAGATGGATATACCTTTGAAACGCGTTTATTCAACGCCACTCTTTCGGTCGCAATGGCTATTTTTTACGTTGCACTTAAATATTATAGCCCGTCAGTCATGAACGTATATTATATTCGTCCTGTCCTAACCATGGATATGGTTTATTTTATACAAAGAAGTCTGGAATCAAAAAATTATTAGCTGCTCCCGAGGTTGACGAACATTCCAAAACATCGAAGGAGCCATGGTTTGAATATTTTCATTCGGATTTATCGATTTTTAAAAAACAATATTTCATCATCACATTTGTATATTTTTTAGAGGGTGGGAGGTCTCCGATATATGCCAAAAACCATAATTGTGTGCAAAACAATTTATGAAATTTAATAACATCATCACGACTGTTGATCTATTTAATTTTCATATTAATTTTTATTTCGATTTCAAATTAATAGCTGACGATTATACTTCCCTTTCTCTTACACAGACAATTATTACCGATATATAATCCACTTGTTTTGTTATCTGAACTGTTTTGAGTTGATAGCGATATTATGAATGAGTTTCTATGTGTACACGGACAATATTGTAAAATAAAAGTATGATAACATACGAGTAAATTCGTCGATTCAGAATTCCATAGTCTATTCGAATATGTTATAATTAAGCGTAATTGGAAATTTCTTATATATATTAAATATGATTAAAACACACAAGCTGCCAACACATCACACTGGCAAATTTACTTATTTCTACATACCAATTAAATTTACAAATAATAGTAATAATAATAATAATAATGTTAAACTATGTATAGTGAGAAGATTGACATATTGTTTCAAATTATCTTAAAACTCCACAAATACATATTCAATTTAACGTTTATAACGTGCTTACACTTTAGTGCAGTATACTGGACTGGTGATAAATGTATAAGAGGTAGAAAGGTAAAATGTCTGCGATTTATGCTGGAATTAATTTCCATCTTGTCGAGTAGTCTGAACGATATTATTATTTAAATTATTTCTTTATATATATATATAAGTACATATCAGCATGGCCGAGACATGTTTTGATGTTTCGTACTTCGCTGACGCATCTTCGTTTAAATAAAATATTTTAATTAATTAACTGATCGTTGTTAAAATCGTCGACAACGAAAATGAAAAAACGATTGTTGGTGAAATTATGTGCAAACGAGTAGCTTTAAAAAAATCTTATTCGCTTTCTGTATACTTTCAGCTCGTAATACTATTTATACATCAGAATCATCAATCAAATTTTTATTAAATTAATTTAATTTTAAATCTTAATTTATTACGATTAGTAGACATTTTATTTCCCATTTAATATTTTTATTTTTATTTTTTACGTTTATCCGGAGTTTTAAAGTAATGACTATGCATATACTAAGATACATAATTTATATCTATCTCATAATTTAATGATAAAATAGAATGGAAATATTTAAGGCAGATAAATTATAAGAACGAAATAAAATACGGCAGAAGAAGAAGAAAAGCATATTACTAAGTAATTTAATATTCATCTCCTATGAAATTCAAAATCTGAATAAATATGGAAAATAACGGTTGATCATGAATATTGAATGTTCCTATGTAATGATTTGTGAGCATATACTCGTTTAATCGATCACTTGATGTATTTTTTAATCAAATATTTATAATTAATTTTATTAAAGTTGATATTTAGATACATTGTGAGGTATAGGATAAACCATCGTTTTACTGTTCGAAGATCGAAAAAAATAGAAATAAGGTTTCAGATAATATGAAAACTAGAATTAGATGTTGTGCACTCGTTCAGATTCAATAATCTTGACACACGATCCAGGATAAGTAATACTCGTATTATTATAAAAGATTTGAATTCAATAATAAATCGTATTGCAGCATCCGAAAACGATTATAAATGGAGCCTGACTTAGTTTAAAATACATAATTATGTATGTTTAACGATGTTTTTTAAGATTTTAGAGCTCAGATATAATTACGAATATTTATTTTTGAAAAGCGCATTAAAATATAAATAATATAAAAACGTCAAAAATTGACTAATAAATATATCACCGCATATTATATAATATAGAACGGCTTCATCATCAAATGTATTCCCAAAACCATAATAAAATTTAAAAAAAAAAAAAAGGACATTAAAATTAAAATTGGAAATTATAGTTTAATAGGTTTTAAAATATTTATTATTAATACTAAAAATGGACAATTTTGTAACATATAAGATTCTCCAAAATACTAAGATAAAAGAATAACATAGTTTAATCAGTACTTTGTTATAAAACAATAATGCTCATATCGATTTCTTTAAAAATTGATACGTTATAAATTGCACTGCTTTTTTGGTAGATTTTTGACATATTTTAGAAAACTTTTCCGATAATGACATTCTTACTACACCAATTGCGATAAATTTTTGATCTATATAGAATGGCTGTTTTTTGAAACTTTTGGTATACTCATTTTAACTCTAATAAGTGTTTATGGACATTCTGCTAAAAAAAAAAAAAAAATAGAAATAAACAGAAGAAAAAACGTATATAATTGTAATCCCAAGAGCTGTTTTCACAGGTTTCGTTTGAAATAAAAAGCCAATGTCACAATATTATTTATTTTGAAATTATATCGATGGCTGTATTTTGTATCCTTAAAAAAAGGTAACGAGAATCCGGAAATAATATTTTCCTTGTTATAAAATATAATATTTATATATTTTACGTAGACAGTTCAAAGAAAAATCCGATTTTGTTGTATAAACTTACACGTGTGTAGTATGGTAGGTACATAATATAACACATAATATTATTCTATGATACGTGAAATGCGTTTTCACGCCAAAAGCTTAAAAGAAACCCATTGCCAGTAAAATAATATTTTGTTAGGAACGTTAAATCGGAATAACGCTGATGCGCGTGAAATCGCATTTTGTGCTGGTGTGAATAATTATTGAAATCATGTTATGCAATTGAATACTACTTAAACTACTAACTATTAAATATTTTTATCACATAGCTATCAATATATTTTGATTGTTCATTTAAGCGAAGGAAAAAAAAAACGGTGACCTCGTTAACTACTGTAGATCGTACCTGTGCGGTATTACCGTAAACGTTAAATTCGATAATAATTGTTTTGAACGACCGGAAAGCATAAAGAGCTCGCCGCACTGCCCGTACCTCATTATCGCTGGCTGCAGCGAGTTACGCCGAATTCGAGATCCCTGACCCCAGTTCAGAGACGGCCGCTCGTGTAATTCGTTTTATATGATACGTGAAATCCAATGAAATATTAAACCCACCGTTGAGTCCAAGTAGCTTCCGAGAACACCCGCAACCAGGACATTATTACGAATTCACTCGTTACCCGGTATTAATTATAATTTCGATTAATTTTGCATTGATTAAACTCTGCCGGTTGTGTATGGACTACAGACAGAGACGCGATAATAACACAAATGAGCAACCACCTCGTTGCACCGCATCGGAAATGTTTATAATGTATAATGTACACAATTGTATACCGCAACTGCTATACGTACTTTTAAACGTCGTAGGTAGAAATGAGAGCTCTCGAATTTGAACGTGAATTAGATTCACGTGATCGCGTGTACTTAAATTTAAAAATCCGTGAATCCATAATAATAATTCACGTGTAATTAATTAGCAAATCACGGATATTTACTTCACGAGTGCTCAGAACAAAAATCAAATGTATTTATAACTAATATTCTAAAAATAAACGTTTCATGAAGAGTATCATTGTAAAACAACGGGATGAGTGGATGAATGTAAATACTACTCACACGACAGCGACGTGGATATTTTTACGAACCGATAATAATAAAATTTCAAATGTAATATTAAACGCATGATTTAATAACGAAATTCACGTTATTGCACATGTGAGTTGTAAATTCATGTAGATCCATCAATTTAACTACGGGTGAAATAGAGACCTCTGTTAGAGAGGTAAAAAAAAATATATAAAAAAAAAAAAATGTTTCGTTTGGATATCGGACATTATAAATAATAACATTTACGATTTTTTCCTATCTATAATTGAAATACATATGATTTTGTACTAACATACCTGCATATTTTACTAACATTTTTGTTGATTTTCGCTAGACTTTAGAGGATTCGTAGATAATAATTATTTTACTGTTTTTACAAAATAATTTCTTCAAAGCGAAGAATATTATGCAGTTAGTATGGTTAAATCCTAATTATGTGTACACGGTATAATTTTTATCAAAGGTTAAACTGTAAATTCAACCTATTTCGTTGATGTTAAATCGTAAGTACATTGAATGGGTTCATCAATATAATTTGTCTTGGAGTTAATTTTTCACTTCTGTACACGAATCTAGATTTAGAAACGTTTGGCTATTAATATATTTTAAATTGTGTTCGGAACATTACTTTAAATAATTATAATTAATTCCGATTCTTAATTTCCGGCAGCACAAATAAAACAAATTTCCATCCGTCACTCCTTGTTTACAAAATCAATACATTTATATTCGCATTCACATTCGTGCAAATAATTAAAACTCACATCAACGTACAAATATATGGTATTTTAAAACGACATTATTTTTTTTTTAAATTTAACTATTCCATTTATCGGTCGATAAAATCAAAAATAAAGCATTATTTGAAAAAAATGATGTTACACTCGGCGTAAAATTTTAAAACGCCGAACTGACTTACTGCGTTGTTTCGAGCGTTGCAGGACCACGGACGTTCCCGAACGTCACAGCTGCGTGGTGGGTTCCGACCGTCGGTGGTGTCGCGGTGGCCGACCGTGCAAGCTGAACCCGTTCTCGGGCGTCATGCACAGATACGGTTGGCCGGCCGGGTTGTCTGTGGCCGCGTACGCGACAGGCGCGTCGTAGAACGCCGGGTTGTACACCACCGAGGCCGACATGGACTGCTTGCGCCTGGCCGCCCGCACCGTGGCCATCAGACTGCCGGTGCCGTCCACCGGGCCGGCCGCAAACCGGTCGGTCGTCGGCTGGCCGCCGTCCATGGACAGCTCGGACGTCGATCTGTACACGCCCATCAACCCATCGTCCGGTGACCGGCGGACCGCGGACGCCACGATCCTTGTCGTGCCCCGGTGCCGGCGTCGTCTCTCCTTGCTGATCTTCCGGATGTCGTCCAGCACCGGACCCTGTTTGTCCTCCGGCAGCACCGCACACATTTCCTGCAACACCTCCCGGCCCAAATGCCACGTGTTAAACCATAATCATGCATAACCGAATGCATGCTCGAACGAATCATAAACCGTGTTCAAGCAGTGGTGCGGATACAATTTTTTTCCGATGGGGGGGGGGGGATGTTTAAGATTCAATTATTAATATTATTAGTATATCTTAATACGAGGTCCCATATGATAATATTATATTTAAAACTGTATTATTATTATGTCCCGTATTTAATGAAAATTATTTTGTTACTCAATTTTCAATATATACCTCTAATCATGGTAAAATGAAAATATCATTTTACTATAGTGCGTAAGTATTAATAAATAATAATTAAATATCATTAAAAAAAAAAAATTTGATGGAGTTGAAGCCCCCTACTACCCCCTCCCGTAACTACAACACTGTGTTCAAGCATTCGGCTTTCTTTTTTTTTTTTGTCTTCACGTCGCGCGTTTTTACTCTATTCGGACGAAGACGCCCGTGAAACGATTTTCAAAGTAATTTTTTCCGAACAAATCGCGTCCATTTTACCCTATCTAAATAGTAATACCATTCGGTGATGTATTCGTTCAGAATTCGACGAGCGATTTGATTTCCGGATTTTCGGAAACTGGGTTCAATCACGGTTTGCTAACTGCGCGTACCATGCACGTGTTTTCGTTTGCACGCCGAAATAACTACAGCGTATGTAGTAGTAACAGTAATCAGTTTATTATTGGAAGCTAATAAATAAAATAATAAAAAAACTACAGTACTATTTTATTCATTAGTAAAACTATTTTTGTTTATCTCATAATTTGGTATCGTACGTATAGTCGATAAATTCAATAAAGGCAATGTCCGTCTGGCTCATGATTGGACCTTCAGCAAATAATTTACAACGGGCCCCTAAAAAAACCTTAATACTGCAGTGATTTTCAATAACTATTTGTTATATATTTTTTCACCGTGTTCGTGTACGAGATCGGTTAAAACACTAATTTAAATTTTTCAAATATTAATATTCGTTCCATTTTGATCTTGAATGCAAAAATTTTTAAACTATAGGGGTTGTGCCTAATTCTATTTTATTACATCAACAATATTTCAAGATTATGATAAGAATAACATAATTTTATTTTAATTCAGGAAATGAACTATTATAATTTTTCATATTAACGTGGTTGCGTTGAGCCCCTATTTTAAGAATATAAATAAGTGGTTCTTATTCAACCTTATTATCCTATAAGTTGTTAACATTTAAGGTGCTACAAAAATATAATAACTTAAACAATAATTGTTGACGATTGTATGTTAAATGCAAACAAAAAATTTTTAAACTACATAATAACAGCTAGATATCCATTCTCATCGGTTCACCCATAAAATAGCCGTTTTTATTTTGCTCTACTCGACTGTTGCAAATATTTTGTAGTCATTTTCCCTTTCCATGAAATGCCATCATAAAATTCGAGCCCTGGACCATAATGCATTTCCACGTGATACGGACACGGGCTTATAAATAATTACATGCATAACACGTGAAATAATAATATATAGGTACACATGCACCGTGATACCGCGCCTTTCTTCCGCATCCGGTGCACGAAACGATACGATACACGTCGCTGAATCCTATAGAGCTATATTGTACACGTTTCGGTGAAATATTAAAATATTATGAGTATAATACAAGGTGATGTGGGGTTCGTGTTACATTATTGTTATTATTATTATTTTTTTTTTTAATTAAACTTTAAATTCGTTAATTTAAAGTAAAAAAAATGTTGAATCGTGACCAAGCGTATAATACAGTATTGTAATTGTAATTTAGAATGTATTAATGATGGAACACTGTGCGTAATGGGATCGAAGAGTTTGACAACCGTATTCTTTATCTGGCTCCGTCTCAGTCGATCATGTTCATCTTAATCCACAGAGATTCTAACTCAACGGGATCGGCGGATAACGAAAAGTTCGGGGGTTCACGGAATTCTCACATTTCTTCAAATTATTCCGTACTCCGCAGTCGTTCCGAAACCAATGGTAACCGTAAATTTCCATACTATCGCATATTGATAAGCGTTTTTGTGTGCACCCAGAGGATTGTTTGTCGGATCACTGCAGAAGACTGAGAAACAAAATATTCTGATGTACTAGAATTACTACGTTTCTGTCGCGCATTGCATTTAGTGATGAAATCTCGGAACAACGTAATCATAATAATTAAATGTAAATCCGGAATACTGGACTGAAGAAGACCAGCTGATTTTAAATCCTCAGATTTCTCGTGACTAGATCAATACAATTTTAATACATTTTTCATGTTTTTTTTTTTTTTTTTTAATAAAAAAGTGATTTTGTATTTATTAACGGTAAAACATAGTTATTTTCAACATATTTATATTATTTGTTATTTCTTCTATCAATAGAAGTAAAATGAATGAGTAATTTTAAATAGTTTTAATTATTACTTTAATAAAGTATTACCTAAGTGATTTAAAGCAGAAAAAATGAATGTTGAAAAACATATTTGTACATGTTTTATCATTTAAAATTGTATATTTAGACGTTTTGATAAGGAGCATGTTTTTAAGTGCATATTTTATAATAACTCGGTGCATAAAAGCCTGAATTTCGGATTTTAAATTCTGAAAACAGGATTTTTTCATTTGAAATCTCTCTAAAACCCGAAATTCTCATTTAATTCACTATTAGTATGCATTGTTATGTTATAAATGTGTAAATAGTGAAATATTTACATATCTAATATTATCAAAAATATAACATTGTAAAAATTCATATTTTAAACCTAAAATTGAAATAATATTTATTAGTATTCATTGCATTAATACACCATCAGCAAAGACTAACGTTTAAACAAAAATGTATTTGCATAAATACATCTAAAGTAAGTTTTTATGACAGTAGTAAAACATTTATATATTTTATTTTCTTTTATTTAGCAATACAAACTAATAATGATTACTAGCGAAAGTTTGTTTTAGAGAAAAAAACTTTAATGCTATTATAATTATAATAAATAATAAATCATGTTTTATTACAGTTTAAATGCTAATGTATTAGTTTATTTTAAGTTTTTTCTCGTAATTAAATTTTAAAAATAATTGCGCTTAGTTAAATATATTTTAAAAATAATAAAATGCGATATTTTTATGCGTTCAATAAATAATATGATTTACCAATTTTTGTAAAATCTCAATTTGTTTAATTTAATGATTTATTGTAACTGAAACATTTCAGTCCGCTCTCAGTCGACCAATATATATAATATATATTCTTTATTAATATTTTGAAGTTAATATTGACTGACGACGCGTATAATCACTAAATAATCAATAGACTGTATTTCGCAACGCTCCAAAGTACATTAACAATCTTGAAAATGATGATCGGAAAATTAAGATGTTTTAACGTTATGATCTATGTACGCAAAAGTGAATAAATTATTTGCAACAATTTTGCGTTTGTTTTTTCACCGAATAAAGCATAATAACTATGCATATACTGTACGAGTATAATAATAATAATTATGTAGTACTTTATTGCAGTTATACGATAGTTGTATGTATTTTATATGATCGCAGTCTGTGTGACGTTAGACTTTTAACGACATAATATAATTTTGATGTGTCGTAAGTATCCAGAAACTTTTACATAGTTACTGTGTGGAAGAATAACCGAAAAAAATCATAAACTCGAGTTATGAACTATGTCCAAGCACCAAGCACAGTGTATTAACATTTACAATATACTGACCACCGCGGTGTCAATGAATCGGATTCGAGCAGAATTTTAGTAATCTGTAAAAACAACGTTGAATAATAATAGTTATAATAGAATATATTATATCACAAAAAATACTTATTAATGCCACAATCGAATGTAAAGAGTAATATTTAACATAGTGATTAATTTTGCAGTTTTACTTTACGCAAATTGGGCCAGTAGCGAAGCTCGTCGTCATAAGTACACATAAGCAAGCGTATGAATTTAGTAATATTAGACTGTTCACTATTGAATATCATGTTTCCGAAATAACTAATACATCAAACAGAACTTTCGCTACTTCAACGCGACTTAACGCGATATTCCGTGAAATTAATAGTATTTAACGATCCACCATTGATACGAAAATTCAATATCAAGTTGTGATTAGACGAAAAAGGATTACTTTCGAAGGTGAAACGTCTGAAGTTTCAACAACGGTTCATTTAAATTATACCAGCAATAATGCGTATTCGAAAAATTTTATTTTGCAAATATTTCTTATTTTCGTTAAACAATAGAGGTACCTAATTATAAAATTACCATAACAATTAAAACGAAGTATGATTAATACCTAATTATTTTTCTCTATTTGCTTTAAAATATAGTTTGTACAATACACGGAGAATTATTTTTGTTCGAAAACTTTAATAGATTGATATTTTTCATAATATCAGTAACAATTTAACTCGTCATGCATGAAACGAATTCATCGTCAGAATTATTTAGAAATATTTTAGCGATACGTCAAATTTGTGTGCTATGAGGCATAATTCAATATTATAATATTTAGACATTCCTTGCAGTGGCCAGCTTCGAATAACTCGTATTAAAATTGATGTCTACTGAAATTTTTCCCGTGTCTGGGGTATTCGTTATTCGATTAAACGACTCATAAGGGTTGACCCATTTATTTTTCAGCATAATGCACATGGCCAAAATGAAGTTACCACGGTTATAAGATCTGTTAAACATACTCTGCGCGACATACGTCGTTGGTTTTGAAGTCGATTATTATGGATTTTGCTTGGAATACTTATTGAGTTTTCATTTCGTACCTACGTATAATATTATATTCAGCATCATAAATATCTTTATGCGACATTCGCAACAGCTTTTTATTTCATTATTTTAATCTCGTAATCAACAGATATACGTACGCTGTAGGTGCATATTAGAGTTTGCGATTTCGACCGGGTATTAAAATATACGTGTACACGGATTCCGTGTACCCGTT